GTAGTTTATCTCCAGATTTGACTTTTATTCAACTTCAGCATCTCACTTTGCATTTTAGAAAAACTGCCATCATGCAAAGTGATGGTATTAGTGTTAAAAGGTGCTTACGTACGTCTATAAAGGAGGAAAGCGTAGCAAAATATTATTTTCAAAGATTACAGAATGTATAATAATAAAGCTTACTTTCATTCAAAAATTCCATGCACCAATGTCGGTTTAGGGCATCATCCTCATCATCATTATTACAGATTGTTTGAGCTGTAAACATAAGATTGATAATTTTTTTCACATGTTTATAAAATATTATATGTGAATATTTCATAATAATGGTTGAATGCAATGTAATACTATAATAATAGAAATAAAAGATGAATTATAACTTTGGTATACTTGCCATTTTGACTTTGTTGCTGGAAAGTATCATTTCCACCCTGAAAACCAGCAATGGCTGTTTCCCCAACAATTGACACAACCTAAAACTAAAATACCAATACAAGTCATAAGTCATTTGATATGTAATAAATGAACACAGTTTATATATGTATGCATGTAAAAAAATTATAAATAAATAAATATATAATGCTAACATTATTTTACCTTTTCTTGGAGTCAATATGATTTGAGACCCCCCACCACCAGTCTTGCGAATTTCCCTCCTCCTCTCTGCCTCCTACTTTTTCGTGCAACTCGAGAAATCAGACCATTTTTTTTTTTTGTATATCTTTGACATCTTTTCTGCCCTACACTGTTGACTCTGAAAATCAATAAGATGTTACAAAATTTTTCTGCTATAACAAAACAAAGATTTAATGTTTCCAATTCTCTTCAATATGCTGCTGGTATGCATAATGATGTAATTCCCCGTGTGTATAAAAAATAATTAATCGAAGCATAGAATTTTAAAAAAATTATATATCAATATTCAAGTCACCTATTTTAGTGCTTTTGATTTTAAAAAAATGGGCACAAACCTTCTAGTGATTTCTTGCCAAGCCTTCATCTTAGCCTCATTGGTTATTGTTGTTGAAAATTTATTGAATAATATACTTTTTCTCCTTTCAACTCCATATAGGCTCTACCAAAACTTCAACTTCTTCTCTTGTAAATTTAACTCTCTTTCTAGACGGCTCCATCTTCACTTCTGGCGCCGGTGTCATGTACCAGAAGGTCCCCCATGACAGAAAGTCCGGGACCCGTTATTTCAGAAACCAGGGGTCCTACGGACCCCTGGTTTCTGAAATAACGAGTCCCGGACTCTGTATCATGATAATTGAATATAATATACATTGTCCCCCGGACCCTGCATTTAACCGGACCCTACGTTTCATGACAGCTATCACGAAACACAGAGTCCGCCCGTCATACAGAAGAACTTGGTCTAAAAGCTAGGGTCCTACTGTAGAATAGTAGATATTTAGTAAAAGCGTTTTATATTGACAATCTGGGTATAATAGAATTATAAAAAAGCAAACCCTTGATGCAAGTAAATGTAATATAACAAAACGGCGGTTGTTTGCACAACGACCTGTTGGTGTAGAGGACAGCGACACGGGTGATAAGCCTACTATGGTATCCAATGACAGGGAAGTATGCAGAAATTAAACAATGTGTTGGTTCGAGTCCCACACTAGAGTTGACATTTTAACGCCTCTATTTTCACTGTTGTTTTTTTAAATCTATAGTTAAATATTTAACTTACTGTCCATTTATAGTGTGTCATTCCGCAATAATATGTGTTATACTCACTTTTGATTACATTCCATACCTTTTTTAATTGGACTTACTTAAAATATTTCACACATATCCCATTGCATTGTGATGCTTTGGACTATATACACGTGTTACTTATTTGATTACCACTCGCACATGTGTGCAAGCTAGTGATACACAATGAATCGATGCTAAACTGTGCAAAACGTTCCTTTTATTTAGACTATACGCGTGACTTAGGCTACAATGACATAAATGTGTGACATAAATGTGTGACAGCTAGCGTTATACAGTGCATCAATGCCAAATTGTGCAAAATATGTATTTTCTGGAAACTGACGAAATTAATTAGTTATTAAATATACATGCTTATGGAGTGTAATTGACAAATGTACTCATTTAATTTCGTTTACCAATTTATATAAAGTTTTAATTTAAGTTGCAAACCCTAAATTAAAATGGAATCAACCCAAAAGGAATGTATTTCATGTTTCTCAGGGTATAAAATGGCTAGCTCTTCGCGATGTCTTACTCTGTCAGCATGGATTTTCAAGCAGTGCGACTTTATTTACAACATGGCAGGTACAGAAGACGAACAACCAACCATCAGAAAAGAGCAATAAGAAGAAGCGCTGCAAACCATTATAAATTAATTATAAGTTTTATACATTTATACTCGTTTAACTTCAAGACTGTTTAATAAAAGCGCAACTTACATGTACATTTAAGGTACATATTTATATTTCTGTTTAGCTTGAAAGCGGCTGCTTATATTACAGAGCTGTAAGAAAGATAGTGGAAGTATAGAGTGGGATGGAGGAGAGGGAGAAGGGGAGATGGAGGAAAGTAGTAGAAAGCGAAGATAAGAAAACTGNTTAATTAGTTATTAAATATACATGTTTATGGAGTGTAATTGAAAATGTACTCATTTAATTTTGTTTACCAATTTATATAAAGTTTTAATTTAAGTTGCATACCCTAAATTAAAATGGAATCAACCCAAAAGGAATGTATTCCATGTTTCTCAGGGTATAAAATGGCTAGCTCTTCGCGATGTCTTACTCTGTCAGCATGGATTTTCAAGCAGTGCGACTTTATTTACAACATGGCAGGTACAGAAGACGAACAACCAACCATCAGAAAAGAGCAATAAGGAGAAGCGCTGCAAACCATTATAAATTAATTATAAGTTTTATACATTTATACTCGTTTAACTTCAAGACTGTTTAATAAAAGCGCAACTTACATGTACATTTAAGGTACATATTTATATTTCTGTTTAGCTTGAAAGCGGCTGCTTATATTACAGAGCTGTAAGAAAGATAGTGGAAGTAGAGAGGGAGAAGGGGAGATGGAGGAAAGTAGTAGAAAGCGAAGATAAGAAAACTGCCTTGTTACAAGAAATGCACGACAAAGAGAAAATGACATTGAGGAGAAAAAACAATTACTATACTGATTAATAAAATTAACTTTTTTGTAAAATCAGGAAGTTCACCAAAGGCACTTATGTATTCTGAATAAATTTATATTTCTTAAGTGATGTTCTTTCTCAATTGCATACAAAAGATAATCCTGCAAATTAAAGTTTATGAAATGCGAACAATGCACATTTATACTACGCGTTACACTTTAACAGAGGTTAATAATGTTTATTTTACCTGTAATCCTTATAATTCTTCCCTCAGTTAACATCATGTCCAATGTCATTTTTAAATTGCATGTTTTAAGTGTGAGATTTCATTATTGCTCTTCAATGCGGACTTTCAGTATTAAAACGTAGGGTCCTAGGACTTTCCGTACTGAAATAGAGTGTCTAGGGGGACTCTACATTTCAGAACATAGAGTCCGGGACCCGTTATTTCGAGACAGGGAGTCCGCCGGACTCTCAGTTTTAAAACACCGGGTCCGCCGGACCCTAGAATGGTAGGACTCTGTGTTGCTTGACACCGGCACTGTAAACCCATAAATATACTGATAAATGCACGTGCCGACAGAATAATAGCCTAGAGTCTGCTTTTGAAAATGGAGCTTCTTAAAAATTATAGAAATCACAACCCAGAGAGTACATGGTATCTGATAACATAACAGTATAGATTACAGGCACACGTACTGAAACATCAGTGGTCGTCATAGGTAAATGTTCTGACAAGCTCACCTTATTTACTTGTTATTTAATAAAGATTATTTCTTGTGATTAAACATCCATTACCATTATTTGAGGGTCATGGGGAAGACACATTTACCATGTTTTACCCTCATGATCAGTAACTAAATTTTAATGACTAAATTAAAACTTCGCCTTGATATTTATTATAGAAAGCATTATATTTACCCTCGACCTTGAAGTTTGATACAGTTTACCATACAAACATTGACAGCGTTGCTAGCTCTTTAATGTTACTTTATTCTTTATTCAGACTTGTGCTGTGTAAAAAAAACATACGGAGATATTTGCGCCTCAATATATACTAAGGTCCATAAAAACATGTAATTTGATCATATAAATTTTTAAAGTTCCCTTTCAGAAAATACGTCCTTACTCTGAAATACTGGTACAGACTGAGAACATGCGTTTTTCAGGCGTTTTGGACTGGTAGTTTAATTTGGTGCATGGGGGGGGGGGAGGATATCTTCAACTTTGTAAAAGTGATCTTCTAAGAGTAGGTATTGTAGCAAAAGTAATATTCTAAGAGTAGGTATTGTAGCTGAATTTTCGTTCGCAAAGGTAATTAAAACATTTGGAAGTATTGTTCGTACTCTGGTTATCACAGCCCCATACAAGGTATTTTGCTTACCCTTGAAAGCCACTTTTTACCTCCCTAGATGCGTGAAACGTTCATTTTATTTAGCGTGAAGCACCCCATTCCTGTGACTTTTACATGCGGCTTTTTTCTTTCCGTTATTCTTGAAACAAAGTCATTATTTTGCACGGTGATTCGTGATTCGTGATTTGTGACGCGTATTTTCAGTGAAATATGAGTATAGTTTTATTTACTGTGATTTGTGAATTAATGATTTTATTTCCCGTGAATTGTGATCACCCCTCCCCCTCGGTGGTGCCCTCTCATACGGCAGCTGGGCTGTATCCTCCCGAGAGAGGTGAGAATATTTACACCTAGTCTGAATCAGTAAACAAAAAACGCATCTTGTCTTCTCTAACACAACCCAGCA